CCCCCCAAGCACCAAGAAGACAGAGCATCACTTGCCCCAGAGCCCCTATCTATACCTTGTGGCTAATAGCCACTGATGGACCTCTGCTCCATATGTGCTGGACCGGGCGGCCGTGGGGGGGGGGCTCTGTAGCTTACCTGGCTGCTTCTTGCTCTGACTGAGGGCTGCTGGGAGCAGGGGTTGGGGCTTGTTGCATGTGCCCGCCCCCTGGGCTCTTTACTGCCGGAGCTCCGCTCCTGTGCGCTCCTGCAGGAAATGACGCCTGGGTTATATTTTAGTGATTCCAGGCAGGCAGGGGGAGGATAATGAATTTAGCCCAGGGGAAAGTAGTTTAAACAAGGATTTGAATCCATTACCCTGTTCAGGCAATTCCTAGTAGGTTTGGCAACTTTGAAATGTGTGTGGAGCTTCCTCCACCTGTAAGACCCTCTCCTCCCAGTACGGCAGAAGAGGCAGTTCCAGGAAAGCAGGAAGATGAATCTGTGGAACTTGGGTTCTTCTGAACCAAATGGGACGGGGTTGGAGAGCACATGGCGGCCAGCTTTTTCTCTGGAGTGATTCGTCAAGGCTTCCGCAGGTCAGCTTCCTTTCTGTGTGCGCGCGCATACAGATGCTTTATTCCTTTCCTTTGTACATTGAGTCACTCTATGTCTCATTTTTTTAGATGCAAGGGTTAAAAGGCGAGATCAATTCTCACACAGATGCATGTTTCCTCCTTGCTCAGTATAAGAGATCACTCTGCAGATGTTCCCATTTGAAATTAAAGCTTATTCACTCTTCTGTTGGCACATGAGAGTCCCAGCTGTTGTACGGAAGATAAGCCTCTTAACATCTACCTACCCCAACCAGTATTGCAAATAGTGTCAAACTGTCATTATTATCACCTGCCTTCTGTCTTCTGCCCCCCCCCCCTTCCTTAGGCTGTCTCCAACCCCCTTGCTCAGTGCAGGAATTAGTCAACTACAGTACCCCACACTACTTAAAGGAGTGCATCCCTTTAATTTAAAAAAAATGATTGAAAAAAAGCATTTACAGGAGAAATTTTTGGGCTATGCCTTTAAGAAAGGGAGCAGAGCCCCCCAAAGCACCACTGTAGCTATGGGCCTGTGTGTTTGTGTGGACGCCTGAGCCTCCAGAAGTCTTCTCTCCATGGGTGTCCTGAAATTGTTCACTATAGTCCATCCCTTTGAGATGTAAGTCCTCCCTGCAGCTTGTGTTTATATAAAAGTGGTTAATAAATTATTTAAAAAGGTGTGGGGTGGGGGTAGATTTCACAGGAGAAGACGGGACAGGTAACTCTTGCTGCTGTGCTGTGTCCCTGGATGTATTTACTGTGAACAGGTGAGTGCAGTGCTACATAGGTGATCGATGGTTTGCAACAGCCAAGCTTGCCTATGTGAGGGGTGTATGGTGTATTTAAACCCTGCAAAATGCTGTGTGATCCCTTACATTACAAAGTCTGTAAGCCAGGATTTTAGTAGCTGTAAACAGGCATGTCTCCATTATGGGCTGTTCTTTTTTCTTTCCTTTATTTTTCAACACCAGCTGAGTATTCTGGCTTTACAAAGAACAATTACTGTTGTTGCAATGATAGCATCAAAGAAGTAATGATTATTTTTTCTGCTCTTTTTATTTTCAAATGGGAGTGCAATTTCCTCTTTTGCATCAGTGCAAACATATAATGCATTCTGTACAATAATAGACCAATCACAGCTAGGAA